ATGATGTTTATTATAGCTGAGATGTTCTCTTTATCCAAATTTGATAGTACCTTTAATACTAAGTACCTAATTTGAATTATAACAAGCAGTTTGAGTTGTCAGTTAGGATGTTATACTCTAGATAGGCACATTGAGAGGAGTATGTCTGAATAACTTGAAAAATAGGAAAATATCTATGATTGTTTGGCCTGCATGCATCTTAATAGGATCTGGTATATTTTGGTAGCTTAGTTAAGTATAAAGGTTAATGGTCAGCGTTAAAGTATTTTAAAAAAAAAATATATATAATTTTTATATTACAGGTGATTATATATAATCACCCTATTTATAATCATATAATTTTTAAAAACCAAAAGTAGTGATTATAGATAGGTTTAACTGTATCACATAATTGTTTAAAATATCATATTGTTATTAATATTACCTTTTCTCCTCATTTACATGATTTCAGATGTTATGTTAAATAAATATATTAGTTAGTTCAGTCTTAGTAATATTAGAATTAAAGATTAATTTATAACTATTAGATTACAACTAATTGCACAATCTTAATTATAAAAATTTTAATATAAAATCCACAAATAATTACAATTTAAGAGGTTGCAACCTAAGTTATAATCAGTTACTTATTTTTTTAAATCAGTTATAATAATATCTTTAGTCTATTTTATTAGAATCAGTAATATGAATTTATTATAAATAAAATAGTTTTTTATTGATTTAAAATTAAATCTATAGTTATTTCCAAAATTATTAATAGCTTTAATGTTTATAATAAAATTAAAATATGTAGTATAGTATAAGGTATCGCATTAAATTTTAAATAAAAAATACAAAGAAAAAAGTAAGTTTATATTAATATAGATTTCTTTATTATATTTTAGTTATTAGTTATAATTTTTTAAGAAGTTATAAATAAAATAAAAATATATATTATCAGTTTGAAAAATCAAACTTTCTAAGATATTTATAGATATAGAATTTCCTAAAATCAAAAATTTCGCAGAAGATATTTATCTTATATTATAGGTAATAGTAAGTGATAGCAATGCAACCTATTGATCTAATCCTTAATCTGCTTAATCTAAATAGATTTCTTTATTTGTATTTAATTCAAATATTTATAACTTAATAAATTCAAGTGATATTATTTTACAATACTATTGATTGAAAATTAGTATTAATATAAGATTAATAAAGTATTTAGCTTTAAGATTTATAGAATAAAATTTTATAGAAAGCTCTAAAGATTGGTATAATAAAAGTGCAATTCAAAAATAAAGTATAATTATAAATTAAGTGATTAGAATTTTATTAATAAAAGGAATTTGTTATAATTGTATTTTATTTGTATATAAAGATATTTAGTAATTATTTTATTATTAATAAACTAACAAATTCATTTTGTTAACAAAGTTCTATACTAGCTTATTTTACTAATATAAATAAATAAAATAAGAAATATAAAACTATGTAATTGATTATTAATATAATATAAAATAAGTTCTATTATTTCCTATGACTTTATCTAATTTTTACTTTTAGTATGTCTGGTATTTCTTGTGTATTTTGCATATATAACTTATTTAATGTATTGTGTAGGTTTTGTATATCTTATATATCTATCAGATTTAGCAGTTTTGGTAAATAATATGACGTAATAAAATCATGTGATCTATTATATCAGATGATTTTCTTTTGTTTGTTCTTCTATTACAATAGTATAAATTCTTAATAAATTTAGATAGAATTCTAGACAAATAATTTTTATATTTATTGATTATATATAGCTTTAAAATAATTAAAATAATTAAAATATTATTATGTTTAATTGATTAAATTATTTTTATTAATTATAATATTATTTTTAGATTTCTAATTTCTAATGATTTAATTAAAATTTGTTTAAATTAAAATTCTTATGCAGATTTACAATAATTATACCAATTATCCCTTTTTAATTTTAATTTTATTGTTTATTAAATATTTACAAGTAATTGAATAGCAGATTATATTTTTTTTTTTAAAATTAAATTAAAAACATTTTATTATAATAATATAATTTATCAATTATTAATAATTATATTTAAATTGAAGATTTTGATATCAATCTAGTAGAAAAAAAATTTCATCTACTGATTTTTCAATATAAAAATAATACTTATATATAATAAGATCTATTATACTTGTTATCTGTATATCCTTTTTTATTAACTACTTTCCATATAATATAATTTATTTAATATAAATATTTTAATTCTTATTTAATTTTAACTACCATATAAAAATCATTAGACGCCGATCATGGAAATTCACGTGATAAACGCCACTCTAAATAAATTCGGTAAATACCGCAAGAGCAAATTGCAAATCCTAGATTAGAAGAGCCCTAAAAAGGGAAAGGGTAGCATTATTAACTAGAATTAACGCGCACTTTATTAATTAATAATATTGTATCATTGTAATAATGAAGTGTAATCATTTGTCATAATAATCATATGTTCATTGGAAAGAACATCTCTTGATTTCCGTTCTTCTACAAATTCGGGAATCAAAACAAACTTTAGAATAAAATAAAAATAAAAATATATTTATTTATTTTCTTATTAATTAAAGATAGAATATAAGATAAACGCGTGCAAGATAAAAATCATTTCCAATTATACAAAATTAAAAAATCCGGCGTTAAAACACGGGTTTGATCATATCATTTCCATGAACTAAGAAAATATATTATATATTCAAAAGTTGAAATATAATTTTTTTTGATTATGAGCATGTTTTTTTAGCCGTTGTAATTCACGCCGGCAGGTAGGGCAGGTAGGTACACACGGAAATAACCGATTAAAGAATAATTAATCACAGCATTTAACTTAACGTATTGTAATATTTGAATGTGATCTTTCGTCAACAAATAAATAAATTTGTGACGATACTCTAAAAAAAAAACAAAAAAAAACAAATTTGCTATACACATAACAATTCCCTAATTGGATAATCATTCCATTATGACCGACCATTTCTAATTTTAGAAATGAAAAATACAATATGATTTTTGTTTGTTCATTTTTGTTTTTAAAATTTTTTTGCATATATTAAATATAAATATTTTTTTTAAAAAGGTGAGAGCAAAAATTTTACTTCAATTTATTTTTATATTTTAATAGAAAAAAGAATTTAAATATCCTGCTTGTATAACAATGCATTGGCATCGTAACACAATTGACTTTTTAAAGATATAAATAAATTTCAATTTTGTGTTAAAGGGATTCTTTGCATTTAGAGATACAGTAAATCAAATGATTTGATTTGTTTACACATATGTAGCGAGCTTTTAATAGATACCTATCATCATTATCATTATCATTTAATGATACATCGATGCACATTTGTTATTGAAATGTGAGGAAAAGTTAATGTACAACATTTTAAAGTTGTGCAATGATATGGCGTACGATTCCAAAAGAAATGTTGACTAAATTAAAAATTAATTAAGGTCATAAAACGTGCATACTAGTGGTGGATCATTTGTCTTGATGTCGTACAGCAAGTTCGAGTGCCGCAGCACACATGCTTTATGGCGGAATATTACGTGTTTTAGACTAACTATATTTTATAGATTATCTATTCTTTAACGGAAAAAAAAAGGAAACATGGCCATCTTAAATAAATGAATATCACATAATTATGATTAAGAATAAAACAATCGCAGAAGTTCCGTAGTACATTATCTCTTGAAAATATAAGGACTCGGGTTCTCCAAAAAGGGTTCATTAATAACGACAAAGGCAAACATGAATTTAGAAATACTATTGTCTCACATAACTTTTTCTGAAATGGCGAGATAAAAATATTCATCTCAATGATTTTTTTTCCCCATTAATATGTTGCACATTACATATTAAGGTAGTTTTTTTCTTTGCGTAACGCGAATGTGGAATATATACAATATATACATCATTTATTCAGAATATATAAAGCATGTTAGCGCGTAATTTTAGTTTATCAAGTTCTTAAACCTGATGGCAAGACTCCGCGTGTAAATGTCGCTGAAATGCAAAAGTTACACAAACTTTCTTCATTAACGACTTGTTACGCGGTTTTGATTCACAAGGGTGAAAATCAGGAGACAGCTCAATGATTGATTTCAAAAACTTTGTCTTTTTTTTTTATTAAGGTATGTTCAAAAAAGATAAATATTGATGTGAAGATAAGGATTTTTATTTGTATAATATCACACGATGTCATGCATCTTAATACAAAAAAAAAAAATTCGATATTCTCAGACTGCTGAAATAAGATTCTTCTAAATTTGAGTCAATACAATTCAGAAAAATGTAACATTACACCATGGATGTAAAATTTGTCTGAGAAACAATCAATATTTTTAAGTGATTATTAAAATACGTCTAACCGCTTATATTGACTTCCCTCTTGTAAATATCGTAATCATCTGTTATAACATTATGTAATATACATCTATCAGCTATTCAATTGGTTCTATTAGATAAAGAGCGCAATTATATTCAGTGACACATTCTGGAACTGGAAGAAACGCAATTCAGCCAAAGCACAAATATCTATATATATATATAATCTTTTCGTACTTAAATTATATCATTATATAAGTAATAATAATACTAATAATAACATAGGTTATATATATTTTAATTTAACAAATGAATTAAAACTGCGCCACACTCGATTTAGTTATAAACAAACTTCTCATATATACAATATAGTTTATCTTACTTCTTATATAAAGTATTTATAAAAACAGAAAATTTCCCCTACTTTTCCCATATTAGAAATGTTGCTTGCATATATTGATCGCTTAATGAACACTTTAATTAATCATGTACATAAACCAAATTTCTTTGTTTGTGTGACGATAGCAATAGCATAAATATATGAAATTTAATGTTCATGCCAAGGCTTTGCCCTGATATGACAATTAAAACGAATTTTTACTAATACGAACAATTATTAATCAGTCGGCCATGAATAAATTAGTTAATAACGACGTGTTAAGTCCAATACCAAGAGCTTGTGTCTTCATCAACTCTAGCGATCCTTTATATCCTAACCAAGTCATTAACTGTGGTAATAATCCGTGTTTTAAGCCCCCCTTTCCACCAATTATCAATCCAAGAGATTTGGTTGCAAAACAACCGACTGGTGGTCGAACGTTGGCACGAGCTCCAAATGCTTTCATCATTTATAGGAAATTGTGCGTTGAGACTGCTCGCTCGTATGGTTATTATTTGCCAATGACCGTTATATCATCCATGGCTTCACAATCATGGGAGGAAGAATCTTTAGCTGTAAAAGCGGAATATAAACGTATAGCACAAGAAGCAACCAAACATTATAAAGAAATGTACCCCAAAATTGAACGACGTAAAAAACGAGAGAAATGGAATCTAGTTTCGTTTCAACCAAAACAACAAATATCACAAACACAACAAGATTCTTCAAAGTCCACAAACAAAAAAATTGCCAAGGCTCCATTACTCAAATTCAAGACATCCAACCCATCTAAATCTTCTTCATCCGATCAACCGCAAAAAGCCACGAATTCTGCTAACAATAAATCGGTTTCTGTTGAAATGTCGTCAGATGAAAAATACGTTAGTTCTAAAGCTGATCAATCAAATAATAACGAAATAAGTCCGGATAAAAAAATGATATATCCAAGCCCGGATCTCTCTCTTGATGATTACCTGAATTCGAAAGGGATTGAGCAATTCGGTCCCATAGAAAGAATTACTTCAGAACAAACAATAAATGCAAATTCTCGATTTAGTTTGGAATATCCAAGTCCAGATTTATCTTCCGGTGGCTATTTCGATATTGGAAGTTTAGATGTTACCGATATTTACGACGAAGAAATTTCTAAATGGAATAATATGTCCCAAAATGAAATTATATCTGAGAATACTTTTACTTCAATTTATCAAGAAGAAATAAATAAGAATGCAATTGGCGTAACTGAAGGAACAGATAGGATAGAAAGTTCCGGTTATAATGCTTCAAAAGTTTTTAATTTGTCTGATAATCTAAGCATTTCGTTTTCTGCAATAATGGGACCAGATTCTTATTTTTGAGGGATCTTTTTTTTTCTTTTTATTATTAATTTCCTACGTCTTTAATCTAATAAATTCTTGCCTTTTTCATATTCGTATCTATCCTATTTCTTTTATAGATACGTATAATCTCAGTTTAAAACAAAAGATGTATTTAAGATAAGAAAATTATGTTTCAATTTCAAAAGAAAATACATGGTATTAAAGGAGATGTGATAGATATTACTTATAATTTCTAAATTTTCTTTATGAACCTTTCATTATTAGCATTTTTTATATTATGAAAAAATATGACCGAATTATAAATAAAGATATTTATTAATAAGCATAAATGTGTGGAATTAAACCTTAAACTTTTTTTAAAAATTTGCCACCAAATATTTGACCATGTTCAACCGTTTGCTTTCTTCAAAGTGATGGATGGTACTGCTTTTTTGCGTTAATAAATTATGATTTTTTAGGCAGGATTTTTTTTTTTTTTTTTAACAAAATATTTGTATAAAGTAGCTCAGAAATACGAACGACGTTGTATTATCGCCAATGTTTCAGGTTTCATAGTCAGTATAAACTTAAACCATTTCGAAATCGGCGATTTATTTATTATTCGTACAAATATTGAAAACAGGCTTTCTATTTGGACACCATCCAAATTTCTTGAACGGACGAAAATAGTCATGTCATCCGATTGTTATGGATTCTTATAAATATAGATTGAATAGCAACTTTTTACACAAAAAATGAAATTTAATAATAAATGTTTTAAAAAAAATCGAAAGTAATAAATTAATGGTTTGTTTTACAAAATAGAAATCGTTTATAATACGCAGAAATATTGGTCTTTAACCGAATTAATTATATTTCTTGCATTCGATAATTTTATTAATTAGACATTTTTAACAATTATTTATTTTAATAAGGTGGTTAATATTAATTTAATTTATAATTAATATGTATTTGTATATAAGCATGAATATTCATTCAGATATTTTAAAAGTTAATTATTTTATACCTATAAAATTATATTATTAATAGAGAATATAAGTTAAAAAGAGAATAAATACAAAAATCAATAAAAAAATATTAATAAATACACTAAAATTCTATTAATAATATCAATTTTTAAATTAAACCAAGTTTTAACAATTTGCATATATTTTATTATATTTTTCAAAATTAGAGTTATCAAATTTTGCTATTTTAGATATTATTATTAATAGTAATATATAAAGCTATATACATAAAAAAATGAAAGCTTTAAATTGTTTTTTAAATTAATATTAAATTTATACTTATTTTACTAAAATATATATATAGCATATAAAGTATATAGAAACATTGCAGTAGAAAGTGTGAAAACCTAAAAAATATTTCTTTATAAGTTAATATTAAATCTGAACTTATTTTACTAAAAAAAAAATCATATTTGGCATATAAAGTAAAAATATAATTTTTTTTTGGATTTCCTCTTTTTCTATTGACAAGCGTTGTTACGTCCGATTTGTAACTTAAATAAAATTCTCAAAATTAATAATGCTAAGACTAAACTCAGGGAATCACAACGAAGATTCTTAGTAAACGTCAAAG